TCAACAAAACCTTCTTTCATTAAATTATTAAACTCTCCCAGCATGCCTGATAACCCAACAAGCCTAAAAATGGTCAACTCTTCAACCGTAGTCTTCAACAAAAAGAGTTTTATGCTTATTTCAGCGCTAGACCTTAAACTCTTGTCCGAATTTTGCCTACTGTGCATTTCAATGTCCTCATGACCTCTGCCAATTCAATTCTTTCATAGGTAAATCTCACAAAAGATCATACCCCATAAAGAATCTGCCACGAAAGATAACTTAGATTTCATAGGTAATTTGATCTTCCATGGGTAACTCAGAGTCGAAATCTATCGCCAAAGAATCTAGAGAAAATTTTGATTCATTAAATTTAAGAGGTGAGAGAGGCAGAGAGACATTGAAAGAGAAAGAGGAGTGATTGATGGAAAAAATCTTAGTGACAAATTTTCATTGAGCATTAATCAAGGGTAACTGATTTTCAGTTTGGAAATTACTTTCACATTGAAATTTGCTTTGAATATTAAAATAAGAGTATTTTACTATTAAAAGAATTGTAAACTTAATTACTTATTAATAACATTAAAATAGGACTTATCCCCAAAAGAATTTTTTTGACAGACTAAACTCGTTAAAAAGCCTATTATCGAGTACTAAATCCTAATTTTCACCCAAAAAAAAAAAGGCTGGGCTCCACCCATTTCAACCCTTCCTCTCATTTTCTCTCTCTTTCTTTCAATGCCATAGACCTTTTTTTATTCCTCTCTACCTCTTTTCTGCCATGGCCCATGGAACCCCCACCACCAGGTAACCATATCTCTCTCTCAACTGGGCACCCAGCCATGACGCACTCACACAAAAAACAACGCACACACCCACCCCCACACACTCAGGACACAATTTCACAACACATCACTCAATTGGGATTTAATTATTTTTTTATTTTTTTGTGCATTTAATCCTAATTGGACTTTTTGTGCATTTTGTCTTAATTTTATTTTTTGTACATTTTAATCTAGATTACTTTCCTGATTTGTGATAGTTAGCATTTGCAATGTGATGTAGTTGGGATGACCTGAAGACACCGATATGGTTAATGGTGGGCGGACTTATGAGTTACGCCCTTGAGCTATTGAGTCAGCAATAATAAATCTTTTTTCGGTAATTCTCAATCCATAACTATTTATAATTCTTTGAAATTGTAGGGTTTTTTTTTTTTTTTTGAAAAAGTGTTCATATAAACCCATTCTCTTTAATAAGTTTATGAAACAGTCGTGGAGAAGTACTTTTAGAGAAAGTCCGAGTAGGAGTTATCACTTCCTGTCAAAAGTGGTGATTATTCTTCGAACATAAGTGATGTAGATATTATTTTGGCGAATCTTTCATTGGATCTTGAACTATGACATCAAATTATGGATTATAATCCTCATGACCGAGACCAAATGAGCAATCACAGATTAGTTCAAGGATCCAAGGAAACGACTTCAAATGATGAGAGAAAGTGGGTGGAGTTATTTTCTTGATGGTGTCTCTATTTTTTTGTGAAAAACACGAAATAGTTGTTTCAAATATAGATAATATCTTTAAAGCTCGAGAGAGACTAAGACGTACTTAAGAAACGACAAATTTGCAACATTATTAATGCAATCAGCTTATGAAGAACAGAAAAATCCAAAAAGAAGGAAAGTCAAAGAGCTAGATTAAGCTGAAAGACTAGCTTAAACACCCACATTCAATCCCAAAGAGAGGGAGAGACGATTGGCTGTTGTAGAAAGTAGAAAATACGTAATATTATTCCCCCAAAAACTGTAGAATACAATGTGGAACAACCCTTTTATAAGTCCCTAGGGTTGCCCTAATTAAATAATCAATCTCAGCCCTTTAATTAAACCTAATCTAAGGCCTCCAATTCTGTTCAGTAGAAAAAAAAAATACTAAAATGACCAAATAGTCCAAACAGTCACATGACTGACTTTTAAAACTCACATGGCTTTTAAAATAAAATCCTAATGACCAAACTACCCCTAAATATGACTGATAATTAAAAGAAACACTATGTAAAACATGAAACCATGCTGAAAATAGAATTTAGATTAAAATAAACGACTCAAGAAAACATAAACAGCTTGTGGAATGATCACAGCAGGCTGTCATCATTAAGGTGTCTATGTTTGGTCTTCTTTGGATGTTCAAAGGCTCGTAAAAAATACTTCTGCTATATGCTCTGCATCAATTATCAAGTTATTTTATACCGTCATAGATATGCTACATCAAGAGTTAAATGACCACTTTACCGAGTCAAACACTAAGTTACTTCTTTGTGTGGCATGTTTGAGTCTTTTTGATTCCTTCTCTACTTTTAACAATAAGAAATTGGTGGCTCTTACTCAATTTTATCCAAAAGAATTTTCATCATTAGAGCTCATAATACTTTTTGATCAGCTAGATAGTTATGCTATATGTTATTGATATACATTTTAGTATTGAATTTTCAAATTTGTTAGGGATTGAAGATCTTGCTCAAAAAATAGTTAAGACAAAAAAAAAACGTGATTTATCCATTGGTCTACTTGTCACTTTGGCATTGATCTTTCGACTGCCACAGGAGAGAGAAAATTTTCAACTTTGAAGATTGTGAAGAATCGATTATATACTCGAATGATCGATGGATGATAGAGAAATTGATTGTGTACATAGACAAAGACATTTTTAATTGTATTAATAATAAAGTTATCATGCAACGTTTCCAAAATATCACAACTCGTTAAGGTCAACTGTAAATAGCTATAGTCAATCTCATATCTTTGTAAAGGGGTTGAATTAGGACCTTTTTTGTAGATTTTTTTTTTTTTGCTTCAATAGCCCCATCAGCTTTTCACTATTTTTGTTAATGAAATTTCAAGTATTATATAAGATTTATCAAATTTATGTGCCATTTACTTTAATCAGTAGGAAATAAAAAATTAAAAACTTATAATTAATGTCCACCCACATTTAAATTCTTGACTATGCCCTTGGTATTCAAAATTGTTTTCTTCGGTGCAATACACAAACAAGTTAAGATTTCATTGTATTTTGAAGACGGATTCCCCATTCAAACCTTATTCAATTGGATGGGGGTAAATATTATTTTTAGGAAAGTATTTCTACTTGACTTAAAAGCATTTCAGATTTTTAGTTTTGGCAATGCAGTTTCCTTCTACACCAATAAGAAGTAGATTTTTATCGACAAACCACCCTCATTATACAGAAGACTTATAAGTGTGAAGAAGACAAAAACACCCTATAAGTATGACATTGGCATTAGAATAATGAATGAAAATGGGGTTTGTTTTGGCATTGCGTTGTATTGTCATCATCAATTATAACACAAAAAACTACACAAGTGTTAGAAGATATATCCTTTTACATGGGTTTGATGACTTGGTATCATTATTACAACTAAACTCCCACAGAAAAAATGACTATATCAACTTATGAACCTTGTGATGCCTGTCCCACTAGCCCCCACCTCCGACTGTATCGGTTTTTACATCAAAACCCACAAATAAAATCTCAAATCAGCAACTTAATAAAGACTTGTGTCTGCTATTTGAGGAAAGCCCGAGAACACAAATTTGAGAAATAATGGCATTAATGACACTGGCCATCATGCTACAAGATAAAAAAGATATACCAAACATTCCAAACCAGAAACATCAAAATGCAAAATATGGCACTTGCCACTATGCTACAAGATAGGAAATAAGGATCAAAATATCGTTTCTATGCATGATTTCAATTAGCTTGGAAACAAAAAAACATTTCGATGTTTTGGAAACATAATAGAAAGGGAAAAAATTGAAGTGTTGATTTCCAAATAATTGACAAAATTCTCCGAAACATCTAGAAACAAACACAGAAATTTCGATGAAAGCAAAACAAAGTTTGGATCCTTAATCACAAACAGGTAGGACGATTCAATTACCACCATCAGAAACATATAGTCTTTCGTAGTGGACTAATAAAGAATCCCAAGAGGAGAATTGGAGACTAAAGGGATCTACGCACTCTGAAATAGTCATATCAATATATCATTGTCCCTGGTGTTTGGATAAACAACCAACATTTATGTTAAGCAGTTTGTACAAGGCAACACACAAGAACCAGTGAGCATACTGAACAAAAATCTGGTTTCAATAGGCATCAGATAATTACTTGAATCAGAAAAACATACTAATAACGTCATTGTTAAGTTGCACGAGAGTAACGATGAACCCACCCTGGTCTTGTGGCTGCTGCCTTCAATGCATGGCTCTAGCTTCTAGCATCCGGACTGATCATCTGACTAGTATATAACTATTCAACATATAGCATGATACATCAAACATAAGCCATTTATAGTCTAAGCGCACAAACACTAACCTTTAAATGCTTGTCTCTATGGCTGCACCAAGTCAAGAAGATATGTAGTTAGGTCTCAAAGAAACTCAAGCTAGTTTCAAAGGAACTGTAACTTCTGAAAGTGTGCCAGAACATTCTTCATGCTCCATCTCAGATCTAATTCTATTTCAACCGAGCACATGAGAGTCCAAAGGATGTAGATTAATTTTACTGAAGGGACAGAGGACAGACGGAGTGGTTAGCTCTGGAAAGCAAAATTTTTCTTTCTTTTAAAAGTTGCAATCTTAACATCTCCTTTTCAATCAAAAAATAATCATCGATGAATTTGTTAGTACAGAAATATATATAGGTCAGAAATTATGTCGTCAATGATGAATCAGTTTATGCAATAATGATCGGAAAATACGTGGGTAAGCAGCAAAAACCACACTGGAGCACGCCATTTATTTACTTACTAACATTAAAGTAGAGGAGTAAAAAAGTCAGTTAAGTAGCTTTAGAAAATGATATCACCTTATGATTCAGGACCAGAGAGATAAGCGAGTTTTAGAGGAAGGAATTCAAAGAGAAGGAGAAAGAGAAAGAGAGAGAGAAACTTAAGAGCGAAGGAAGCAGAAAATAAAGTAGGGAATCTATTCTCATATTCGAGAGGCGTAAGGTTGTTCCCCCTGCAGTTTTGATGCCGGAATAGCAAGCTTACAGAGTTGTTCAAATTTAAAAACACCAACTGCCCTTAAACTAAAGCTGTGAGACATTCCATGAAACTCATCATATTTTACAATAATTACCATCTTGTACCTCTTCTCCATCATCAAATCAATGACACGACCAATAGATGTCAAGCTTGTGACGCATGGAGGTGGGCTTCTCATCATTGTTGAAAGTGGAGCATCCAACTGCACAAATACATAAATTTAAAGAGAGCAAAGCAAGAAGACATCATCGTACATCAACCAATTGCCTTCTATTAGCTTATTGATTATAAAGCAGCTAGGATTTATGCTCGAGAAATCAATGGAATTCTCATATCCAAATACAAAGTGGAAAAGCACGCCTACCCACCTAAAAAGAGGAAAATTTTGAAGAAGAAAGGAACAGAAGAAAGAAAAGAATTAAAAAAGAAAGACTTGTCTCCACCCAATGCATAACTATAAAATATTTTCTTATTGAAACTTGAGAGATATATAATATCAGAGTTCAATACTTCTAATATTTCGGTGCTGAGATTCGCATGTTTGCTGCATCAACAACACTTAGTTTGTAGCTTCAGGTAAACCTTTGATGTGGTTGTTCTAGGCGAGACTAGAAAGAACTGGATTCTCTCGTTTGGATTAACTCCTAATCCAGAGTCTGTCAGAACCTTGTTGACTTTATCTTATGCTCTATTCTCGTGGTGTACTCCGGCTGGTCATCTCCATTGATATGGTCAATCAACCGGGACAACTAAAAATCACATTGCTGGGTAAACTTTGATTGCAAAACAACACGAGAATGAAAAGAAGAGAGAAATCTTATTGCTTCTACGGCAGTCTGCTGACAGAGACTCTTTATAGTAGGGAAAAACAATATTACAAAATGACTAAACTACGCCTAATACTATGTTTGTCCTCTGCTACCTCATTCTTCACGTTTATAGTGCATTGGCTCTTAGTTTGTGTTTCCAGGGAAATTGTCCTGGAAAAGAGATACTTAAAGTCTGAACCCCACCCACGCAGAAACACAGACAGCGTATCCAGGGCAGCTCCAAGCAACACTTACAACTTGAACAAAATCCAAAAAAGTAAAAAATGAAACTTGTTCATTTCCACCCCACGATCATGAAAATGTTCACCCCATATCCCAAAACCACCTGAATCAAGGAAACAAACAGACTTGGTTCCTATATATGGAAATGTAAAGGACGCAAAAGATTTGCGCACCCACAAAAAAGGCCATTTGGTGAATAGATCATTTCACTGATGAGTATTAATCCTGCGTAGTTTGGATCTGTCTCAGATTCGGATACAAGTTTTCAGCTAGTTTGACAATTACAGTAAGGGAGAGCCTAAGCGGCAGTTCTGTCTTAGTTGGTGCAGCAAACTAAGAAGCACAGACATGTACTGAGCACATAAAGTATATAAATGGATATGCCGACAAAAAAATTTCTAAAAAGGAAAGACGCAAACATGCGAGGACACGGCATCAGATAAATATAAACACATCTGTGTTCTTCAGTTTATCTGTATGTAAATGAAATAATGTAATATGCAAAGGAAATCTTACATATATTGTGTAACACAAAGACTTTTGAGATGTATGAATCATAACAATTAACAACCAACCATGTCGTATAATTGACATGTAGCAAGGATACACAATCCTGATGATTCCTATCATTCTCCATACCCCTTTCAATTGAATTCTTGTGTCTTGTGCATTTCAAAATATAGAAATTACACCAGAGAATTTCAATTCTCTTCACGCTACAAGAATTTCACTTCTCTTCATGCTACAAGAATTGTAGAGTGTCCAAGAAGTGTCAGGCAAACGTTGAAATGTAGCTTGCATATTGTCTTGGATGCTAAGCCAGAGAGGATGTTTTTACATAAAAAAGTGTGAGCAGTATCGACTACAGAGAATGACTCTAGCCCCTTCTCGCCATTCTGTCAGTATATCTAATAGCCAAAATAACTATGTCTATGTAGGTATCTTCCCCACAGGTTTGGAAAAACATTATGAATAATTATTCATCATAAATAGTGGGCCAGAAGAACAATAATAAACTTAATTAACGGAAGGAAGTCAAACATAGACAGTTGAACAGCTTACTGAAGATTAGAAGAAAAGTACCATATTGCAGTCTTCCCGATGTAGTATTCCCACACAGCTTCCCCAGACATCTATGATGGGCACAACTGAATCTCTGAAGAAACGCAGCACCACTTGCCTCAGGTGCCAGGTAGCTTGTAATGGCTGAGCTTCTTCAAATGGTATCATAATGCACTCGATTGCAGCACTAACTGACACCTAGTTAGAAGGTCGTCAAACAATTCAACAAAGTGGAAGCAAATAGTTCAATTACTTGATAAGGAGGAGTATGACCAGATGCAAAGGAAACAAGCAATAGCACTTAATCATATGCCTCAATCAATAAGATGTTTTATGCCAATTATGTTTAAACTCTGGTTATGACAACTAAAATTTATGTACATTGATTGATTCTAATTTTCTATTCCATGAAACAATTTCACCAATTCATCCTAAGAGGTATATCGGATGATAAGGTAATCAAACCAAGTCAGATTTTTGATACAGGTTACATCCCACCCGAAGCCCAATCATGATAGGAAAACTATCAATTTACACACAAGAATGGCACACTGTTTGTTAGCTGTCACGAGGACATGCCATTTTTCTAAACTGTAGCAATAAACAAATTACATACCCGAGAAAGCATGTAAGGACCAAACATGGAAGCAGTGAGGCTCAGCAATGCCTCGATGCGTACAGCAACCTGCATTCCAATGTGAGAGGTAGATTGTGTAATGTCCGATCAGGATCGCATAAAGGTACTAGAAAGAAATGAAAAAAAGATTTCTCGAACTAAAAATAAAACATATAGGTTCATTTCTAGAGCAATGCACTAAAGGAGGCCTCAACTCATCTTTTTATGGATTCTATAGTAAAAGAACACTTCAAAACTTAATCGTCAGAAAATCTATCCTCAGCACAACCAAGAAATTCCTGGAAACATTCCCCCCCACCCCCCCAAAAAATAATTAAAAATTAAAAAAAAAAACCCTGAGCAGCAGTTATTACTGAAATTTTATATCTCCCATGGGTCACCTGGTATCAACTTTTTTTTTTGGTTTAAGATTGTCTTAAATCCACATATATATCAAAAATGAACACATACCATTCCTCCTCGACTGGCCCATGATATTCCATTCCATTCCATTTTCTGATAATGTGCGATAGATTTTTTACAGCCACATCAACCTGGCAAAAAGAAAAAAACCAAAACTTGCTAGTTAACATTTTGCAAGTAAAAGCTTTATTTTCCATATGTCAATCATCATGTAGGACAATCTAAAGTTGGTGGAAACTGGACGCAAGATATCATCAACGTTGTTCCACTAAAATAGGAAAAAATGATATCATAATACCCTGTGGAAGGGCATAGAAATATATTAGTTCAAGGTGTTTCTTGACTATCTAATTACATAACCACACAGGCTAGATTTGATACCAATGACAAAAGCACAATGAAAGATAGTGTTTGGAATGTGAGTTTCAAATGGCACAACTTCCCCAATCAGAAAACAGAAAAATATCTCTAACACATTCTGAATATCCATAAAACTGACAAAAATTAGGATTATTCCTCAGTAGCCAATGAAGGACTCAACAGGAAGGATAATTTTGGATGGTACAAACTCAAAATTGGTCTGTATTTGTTTTCATTAAACTGTCTTTAAAGAAGACTTCGTTGATCTTAATTGCTGGATGTTAAGTTTAGAGAAGAGGCAAACTTAACACAATATGGGAGAGGCAAAGAGAGGTTTTGTCTTACCCTACCTCTCACTATTAATCTTGTATTTATAGTTACCGAACAAAGAAGCAAAAGACAAGTACACCCTTTGCATGGTATATATATTAAAATAAATGTAAACCCTAATTATATTATAATAGCTTTCTTAACACTCCCCCTAAAACTGGACTATAGATATCATATAATCTAAACTTGGAACAAATAGCCGTAAGACAAGTATGATTCAATACTTTGGTGAACATGTCTGCAAATTGAGCCTCAGATCTCACAAACGGAGTTGCAATATCAACATTCAATATCGTGTCTCAAATAAAATGACAGTCAACTTTAATATGTTTGGTTCTCTCATAAAACACTAAGTTGATAGCAATATGAAGAGTTGTCTGATTATAACAGAACAATTGTAAAGGAAGTCGAACAGAAAAATCAATTTCCCGAATAAAGTGTAGTAATCATATCAACTCACTAGTTGTATGTGTCATCGCTCTATACTCCGCATCGGCGCTAGATTGTACTACCACTGTTTACTTCTTACTTTTTTATGAAACAACATTACCTCCCAAGGTGGTTGATCACCGATCAGAGGGAGAACCAGCCCATTAGCATCCGAAAAACCTTCCCCTCAAAGATGTCTATTAGCTCGATATAGCAATCCAAGACAAAGAACACATTTGAGATATCGAAGAATACGAATGACTGCAACCCAATGTGATACTCTAGGGCATCCCATAAACTGACTTATCACACTGACTACATATGCAATATCTGGTCAAGTAATAGTGAGATAATTAACCTCCCAGCCAACCTGCGATATTGTCTTGGATTATCAAACGGTGTATTATCATTCACTAACAACTTCTAATTTGGATCCATATAAACATCAATTGGTCTACCACCAAACAAACCTACTTCTTTCAGCATGTCGAGTACATATTACCTTTGGGACAAACAAATACCCTGCTTAGATCTAACAACTTCAATACCCAAAAAAATACCATAATTTTTCCAAATCCTTGGTATGAAATTTTATCTTGCAGAAATGCTTTTAATTGAGCAATACCCTCAGAATCATTATTTGTGATTACGATATCATCAACAAAAATAACAAATAGAGTGTACTCTGCATCATTTGTCGATGAAAGACAAAGTAGTCCGTTTGATATCGAAAAAGACCAAACTCTAATACTGCATCTGTGAATTTATCAAACCATGTTCTTGGTGACTGTTTCAAATGGTACAGAAATTATTTTAGTCAATACACTCTTACAGTACTCCCCCTCAGCAGTAAACCCAGTTGGCTGCTCCATGTAGACCTTTCTCAGCCAAGTCTCATGTAAGAAAGCATTCTTAACATCTAACTAAAACAATGGTCAATCAAGATTAACAATCAAATAAATTAAAACATGAACAGAGGAGATTTTGACAACATGAGAGAATGTCTTCGCATAATCAACACCATAGGTTTGAGTGAAACCCTTAGCAACAAGCCGAGCTTTAAGGCGCTCAACAGAACCATTCGAATTAAATTTAACAGTATACACCAATCGACAACCAACGGTCTATTTTCTAAGTGGTAAGGGAATAAGATCCAAGTCTCATTATGATGTAAGACATCTATCTCTAATTTCATAGCTTTCCTCCAACCCGGATCAGACAACTCATCCTATTGGGTCTTAGGAATAGAGATAAAGTTGCGAGATAAAGCAACTAAAGGCAGGAGATAAGGCATCATAAGAAACAAAATTACTAATGGGGTAGTTAGTAACAAGTGTTCGAGTACCTTTCCGAAGAGCAATCAGTAAAGAGTCATAATTACTTGAGGAACTCGGATTAGGAGATGGCAAGGAAGGCGACAGAGGCACTTCAGTTGTTAGTCGGGCACGACGGGAGTATACAAGGGATCTGCAGAGAGGGAGATGGTAACACAATAGGCAGTGGAGTAAGCGACGGTAAGGGATGGGGTGGTAGTGGAGTAGATAACCCAAAGTCAAGATCCAGAGGCTACTGAAGAACCGAGAAATACAGAACAACTTTATTAAAATTGACATTAGCACTAGTGAAGTACTGACGATGAGTGGAACTATAGCAGCGATACCTATTTTGTGTGTGAGAGTATCTAAAAAAGACACACTTGGTAGCACGAGGGTCAAGTTTATTAAACGCAGACCCCAAGTTATGAACATAATAAACACCCCAAAAATTTTAGGAGGTAAGGAGAACAAAGGAGTATGGGGTACAAGAACAAAATATGGACTTTACCCATTTAACACAGAAGACGGCATGCAGTTAATGAGGTGACATGTTATAAGGACAACATCACTCCAAAAAACACGAGATACATGCATGTGGAATAATAATGCACGAGTAACTTCTAACAGGTGTCGGTTCTTATGTTCAACAATACCATTCTACTGAGAGACATAGACACACGATGTCTGGTGAATAATGTCAATTTTACGAAGATAAGATGAAAAAATATCAGATTCATATTCTCTAACATTATCAGAACGTAGAACACGAATACGACAACAATATTGAGTTTTTACTTGTTTACGAAAGGTCTCAAATATAAAAAATAATTTAAAACGAGCTTTCATAAGAAATAACTGAGTCACACGAGAATAGTCATTCACAAAAGACATAAAATAAAGAAATTTATTAGATAAAATATTCTTTATTTGACCTCATACATCAGAGTTGACTAATTCAAATGAACTAGATACATGATTATTGACTCTAATTGGAAGAAAACACTATGATGTTTACTAAGTTGGCAAGCTACATAAGACACAAATGACACATGACTGAGATTATGAACTTGACGCTACAGATTCTGGAGAAAAGGATGACCAAGACGACAGTGCCACTAGAAGGGAGATGACGAGGTTTGCATGGCCCAATGTGTATCAAAGTCAAGGTAATAGAGACCACCAACTTCATGCTCTGAACCAATCTTCCTCTTCGTTTAGAGATTCTGAAAAACACAATACGAAGGAAAAAAATTACTAAATAATTAAGACAGCGAGCAATCTTGCTAATGGATAGTAAGCTAAAAAGAAACTTGAGAACAAACAAAACGAATGATAAGGACATATTAGTACTCAATTGAGTGGTCCTTAAACCTGAAATTTTAGAAAAAATACCATTAGCAAGAGTAACACTGTGTGGTGAATTAACAAACTGATAAATAGAAAAGACACTAGACGAACCAGTCATGTGATCAGAGACGCTAGAGTCTATGATCCAAGGACTACGAGTGGAGAATAATAAACAAGTGAAAGCGGTACCTAACCGGACAAAAGTAGCAGTGGAGGAGGATGAAACAATTAGCTGTTGAGATAGGAACTGAGCATACTTCTCGCGTGTAAGAGTAACAGACCTAGAGTCAGGAGGAGCTAACCGTGGTAGGGAGGAAGTGTCATCTTGATAGGAGACCTGATTAACAGTGCCTGAAGACTTGTCATGTAAATTCCAACAATAATCAACAGTATGACCTCCACAACCACAATGAGTGCACAAATGGCTCAACTCATGTTGAAAGCTCAATTTAAATCAAGGGCCTAGCTTATAAAGATTTAGTGCCCAGCCCAAAGGGGTCCACGTCTGGTCATGCTTGCCAAGGAAGTAAGTAGGGTCATCTGAGACTCTCATCCATGTGGCCTTGGAAAGAGTCACCCTCTATGTCATTCTTTGACTCAATCTTAATGAGAACACATAACTGTCTCATCCATTCACAAGAGGTCGATAGCTCCACTAGATTAGCCACTTATTTACTAATAACTCGCCCCAATTTGTTATGAGGCAACTATAAATTGTAAGCCCCCCAACACTTGGGGGCATGACACTCAGTCGAGCACATCTTTCCTATCTCTCTCAGCTTGTATCGCCCTGCTCTCCCTATACATTTGAAGTAATAAAATACTCTAGCGACTCTAGCCATTCAAAGTGGATGTAGGTCACGCTGACCGAACCACTATAAATCATTGTCTCAATTAACTTATCATCTCTTTCTACTTTATTACTGCATTTATTACTGATCATTTGATAGGTGGTGTGCAAACACAATTTGTACATCATCATAAATGATGAAAGTTAAGGGAAAAGTTTGGGATGATATAGTAGAAAAACATGAGCTTTATAGAACAAAGATGGAGGAGATCACTTGTTTTGATGCATTACAAATGGTTTTACATTTTGAGTTTCAACATATTTGTTGCATGAACAAGAGCAGAGAATTTGTGCTTATGGGATATGCTAATACCTTTAAGAATATTGGGTTTTGGATGGAGATGCTTAGAAAAATGAAAATAAGACCCAAATCCAAATTCTTGGTGGGAGGAAGCACCAACTGGGGGGGGGGGGTGAGAATTGAGAATAGAGAAATGTTATTCGAACTTAATTTTATTATAGCCTTTGGATTGATTGTACACCCCATCAAACATCAAAACTTGATATTAATTTAATGAACATTATTAAGTCAATATATTATGTCATATTTTTAGGTCCCAATAGTATTACCGTTAAGATTATATGAGTTTCACATGTGTGGTTCCAATAATTTTATATTGTATGTTCCTTTTTTTTCAAAGAGGATGAGTCATTGCTTTAGTCAAAGACTTGTATACCTTAGTAGTTTGTTTTGCTCAACCATTGTTGTAAGCTTCTTAGTCTAGGAGGGATCATTTCCAAGTCTATATTTGTTGCCTTATGGTGATGATAATGTTTTAATATTCAACCAATTTAAGAGGTTTTATATGCAGTAGAATAGATAAATGAACAACATAGTCCTTGAAAAAGGGAATCTAATAACTCTTTGGGATGCTCTTGACTCCATGAGACAAGAGTTTTGTCGTCCACATTAAACCAATGCTTCAAACATTGTAGCGATAGTGAAGAAAAGTGAGTCATGGCAGCTTATTTCACAAGGTAGGGGAGTGGGGAGGCCTAGGAGGGGTTGGGGGTATTACTGACTCTCTCTAAATTCAATTTTCAAGTGCCATTAACATAGGTAAAGATCCAGGCGAAGGATCTAAAGCTTTCCTTTCGGAATTTTTTCACTAGAAGGCGGGAATCTGAAAACTTTTTATTAATAAATTCTTGATCACATTAGTTGGACTTGCATTTGTTGCTTTATATCTTTTTTTTGATACACACATGTTTTTTTGATGAAAAATGTTAAGACGCAAGATTTAGTGTGCTATGAAATACAAAATGCTACTTGTATCATGCAATGGAAACAATTGGTAGTTTTGCCACTTAATTGGGTAGGATGAGTTTAGAATTCTATTACAGGTAGCAAAATTTCCAAACTTAATGGTTGTGTTTGACACAATTTTGCAGTCAAGAAGTAGCGGCTTGTGATTCTAAATCAAATAACATTTGAAGGACTACTACATTCCTGATTGCATACTTCTACTTAATCAGCATCAAGACAAGAGTCCCATGTGCCCGCTTGTGCAGTGATAGTATTCATCAATTCCAAAAGTGGTGGCCAGCTGGGAGGAGAACTTCTCATAACATATCGTGCTCTCCTTAATAAAAAAATAGCTTTTTTCTCATACTGCACGGTCATAGCTATTTTTATTTTATTTATTTATTTATTATGATTTTTTGATAGTTAGTTTTAATAATGAAGGCATTTGCTTCTTCATGGGCTCAATCTTTGGTTGCTTGATTCTTTAGGTATTTGATTTGGGGGAAAAAAACTCCTGACAGGGTGTTGTGTCAACTTTATTATAATTTGGAAAAGCACAAGCAAACTAAGGATAGCTTGTCCTCTGAAATTCAGAGGAGATTGAGAATCATAGTGAGTTAACTCAGTAGTTCAATTGTGTGGTAATGATGTTATCTTGTCGTTTACATCTAATCCATATCTGGTTGGCTAGGTTGCCGGTTGAGATGGAACAGCAAGCTGGCTTCTTGGTGTAGTTTCTGATCTTAAACTATCTTAGCCACCACCAATTGCTACAATACCATTAGGAACTGGAAACAATCTCCCATTTTCATTTGGTTGGGTAAGGTTTGGAAACAATCTGTTCTTGTTCTTCTCCCTAACATCTATTGTCCAATCTCTTAATGCCTGCTTTTATGAATTTGCCTTCTACTAATGCCTTTTTTTAAAATGTTATTTATTTATTTGAGTATTTTGAAATGCAATTCCAATTTGTCATATGCACCCTTAATAGTTAGTTAGAAGATTTGAAATGAAATACTTATTTATTGATATATCGTAGCTTTTGTTGAATTGATATTCTACCCGTGTCTACTAAGATATAATTACAAGCTCGAGAATTATTGTTTCTAAGGTGAATTCTAATGCAACCACACAGGTATGTCTATTGATGTATCATTGTTATGCTACTATGTCTTCTGCAAAAACATATGATATTAAAGTCATGTTTTTGTTAAACCAAATAAACTAGAGGCAGTTCTCGAGTGAATGCCATATTCAGATATCACATACAAAACATATTGATTGAGTTGCACAAGAAGGTTATCCATCTTTAAACTTTAAAACCTTGCTAATATTTTGTATTATATATCCTAAATTATCTATTCTTATTTTAAGGTTTTTTCTCATTAGCAGAATGAAACATTAGCAACAAAAAAACTTTGGTTGGCTACAAAGTTAGAATATTCTTTTAGAAAAGGTGAAGTATTGTAGTTTTATATTTCTTTTTTGATCTATTAGCAAAGAACCAAAAAATAAACTAAAAATATTATAGAATTTAAACCAATATAACTTCACTAGTTCACAAAATAAGCACCAGCAGTAGCATAAATCTATTGATGATCTCGATTACTTTGTAAAATTTGGTGATATTTAATTTATGATTTCCTTTAATAGACCACGTTAGCCACAATCCATTTATTCGACAATATGAAATTAAAGATTTTTCAAAATGTAAGGAGAGAAAAAACAACAACACCATCACTAAGTCTATTTATCCTATCATCCTGGTGCAAGGATGATTAACCACCAAAAGTATTATTTTATTATGTCTAATAATTGGTTAATTGTATATTATTTGTAATTAAATGTATTAAATTCCTTGATTTTCTATTTTGATACTTTTTCTATTTGTTTGATTTATTTTGCCGATAAATTGGTTGATTTAAAGTAATAATGGATAAGACAAGTGAAACAATCACTAAATGAATAATCACAATTGATAAGGATTGAAAATTCAAGATTAAGATACGAAAATTTAAAAATATGACAGTAATTTAATCCTTGTAAGAGTCCAAATTAGAAGAAAACTCATTTAAAGTTGGATTTGGAAAGTATCCTAGAAGATAAGGATTTGACACATCTTCAGTATTTTAGTCATAACTTTGACTTCGATATCCGATTAACCTGATGTTTATGGGTTTGGAAAGAAGACTTCAAGGGCTATAAAAGTGTATTTCACAAAAATTTCGTGATTCAGGCTCTAAATAGGCGAAAGTCAAGCTTGAAGTCTAGATAGATTTTGTACCCGTGGCTCTCAAGATTTTATGTATGAGATTTAACCTTAAAAAAATTCTTTTTGAAAAATAATTCTTCCCAAACCAACTCTAGTTATACCTAGGTTATATTTTAGTATAAATAAGACCTCTCACTTATTGAGAGAGGAGGATTTGGATAATTAGAATTATTTTTTTCACATCTTTTCTTTTTTAGTTTTTGTTCTATTTCTATGGCTTGATAAAACTCCAACTATGGCTAGGGGAGGACCTCTCAATGAAGCACGATAATATTATTGACTTATGAGCTTAATGTTATGTGATATTTTGTTAATTCAACTTTTAATTTTTTAGCAAAATTTTTACTTTGTAAAAATTCTTGAGTCATTGTTTCATGTACATTGATTGTTTGAATTTCTCTGTCAGTCAAATAACTGATTATTCCATGCTTAAGTTGATTACAATTATTTCACAGAATAATATAATTGTAAGATTACTCAGGTTCCTGAATAAACTTTTGATTATAAACAAAGGTGTTTTCTTGGTTTTATTACTAAATTCGGTGACTTGAATCAACCGATATTTGATTTTTGTCTAGGTTTAAGAACTAAATTTTTAATCATTATTGTATGAATTTGAGAGGGAGTATTCGATGTTTTAGTATTTTCAATTATTGTTTTAAAACCAAATTTATTGTTTTTTAATTAAAAAAATCTCTACAACAATTTTTTTCAAAATAATTTTCTTTTATTTTTATTTGTGTTATAAGTTTTCACAATTCCCTATGATTCAATCTCGGATTTCCGAATATTATATTATTTCGCACAACCTATACTTGGGTAATCAATTTTAAAGTTGTAGCAAAGAACAACCCCATTTTCTTTATCCAGACAGTTTCATTTGGTTGGGTGAGGTTTTGGAAACAATTTGGTCTTGTTCTTCTCTCTGACATCTATTGTCCAATCTCTTAATGTCTGCTTTTATGAATTTGCCTTCTAATCATGCTTTTTTTTTTAAATGTTATGTTTTTTTTTCTGAGTATTTAGAAATGCAATTCCAATTTATCATATGCCCCCTTAATAGTTAGTTAGAAGATTTGAAATGAAATACTTATTTATTGATATATTGTAGCTTTTGTTGAATTGATATTCCACTTGTGTCTACTAAGATATAATTACAAGCTTGAGAATTCTCGTTTCTAAGTTGAACTCTAATGCAACCACACAAGTATGTCTACTGATGAATCCTTGTTATGCTACTATGTCTCCTGCAAAAACATATGATAGTAAAGTCATATTTTTGTCAAACCAAATAAACTAGAAGTTGTTCTCGAGTGAATGTCATATTCAGATATCATATACAAAGCATATTGATTGAGTTGCAAAAGAAGGTTATCCATCTTTAGACTTTAAAACCTTGCTAATATTTTGTATTGTATATCCTAAATTCTCTTTTTTTCTCATTAGTAGAATGAAACATTAGCTGCCAAAAAACTTTGGTTGGCTACAAAGTTGTAGTATTCTTTTGAAAAAGGTGAAGCTTTGTAGTTTTATGTTGCTTTTTTGATTTATTAACAAAGAACCGAAAAATCACCTAAAAGGATTGCAAAATTTAAACCAATATAACTCCACAAGTTCACAAAATAAGTAGCAGCAGTAGCATAAATCTATTGATGATATCGATTACTTTGTAAAATTTCGTGATGTTTAAGTTATGATATCATTTAACAGACCACCTTGGCCACAATCCATTTATTTGATAATATGAAATTAAAGATTTTCCAAAATGCAATGAGAGAAAAAATAACAACACCATCACTAGGTGTACATTTACTATTAGCCCGGTTCAAGGACAACAACATTTTCTTTATCCAGTCAGTTTCATCTTTAACACAAGATTTACCAGCCTATGACATAACAATGTCAAGTTTTTCAATTCTCTCATCACCTTCCAAAACTTCCTCACACCGTTCTTTTGTCTGGCGTACATGACCTCTATGATTCTCATGGATTTGTGGAACTTCAAAGACATCATGGATACTTGAGGAAGAAGCAGAATTTGCATTTGTTTCCATTACACAATGAGCATGTTTAGCCTGATCCAACTCCCTTCTTATAAATTCTTTTGTTGCATCATATGCCATTCCAATGCTCACTTGTGAACATATTGAAGAAGATCTCGAACCATTCTTAGAACTCGCATAGTTAACTCCTGCTATCTCTTTCACTCTTTCATCTAAATTTCTAATATGTTCCCAGTACAAAATGATTTGTCCAACAACAGAATTCTCAGGCTTCTTCTCTAATTCCAAAGTCTGACCTTTTATTTCTTGTCCTGTCTGTTCTTCCGCTTTATTTTCATCAAAATCTGTCTTTGGACTTATAGATCTTTCTTTTTCAATTACACTTCTTTTGATTTGAGTATTTAAGAGGAATTGGGGGCACATAACTTCTCCTGGAAATGTTTTGAACACTAATTTCCTTGACTAAATTTTCATTTCTTTGCAGCAGATTCTCAGGAAAGTTTATCTCGTCAACTCCAAGATCACTGCAATCCATGCTCAAAAGTTTGTACCGATAAGCTTGAACTTGGTAATCTAGAGCAACAATCTTCATTTCTTTCTGATAGTTAAGGTCTTCGAAAATTGCCAACGATTCCTCTGCGTGACACATCTTTTCCTCGGCTAATCTCTTATACTGCTCTACCTCCAACTTAACCACAACCTTTTCTCCTTGTAGACGTAATATCGTGGACAAAGCTTCACTAGCTGCAGTGGCTGAAGCTTCTCTTTCCACATCCAATTCGTTGTAAAGTTTTTGCAGAAGATGTCGTTGAGCACAAAGAGCTTCTTTTAGAGCTCCCATATCAGCTTGGGACATTCCCATGACGCTTTCAGCCATAGAACATTTGAATCGAAGTTCAACGAACCAGACTTAGTTCTAATAAGAAGAGGTGACATTTTAGTGTAAATACAAAGGAACACAAAATAGTTATTGTTATCTTCAGTTAAGTTTATGAAAATTTAAAGAATTCAACTGAAATATGCCATTATCCACATCATTCTTGAGGAAATTTCAAAATTCCAAAATTAATTGATAATCAAATTCAGGGAGCATTCCACAATTCAATTTCAGCAAATTTGAGATTACCCAACAATTTTTATATCAGTTAACAAAAGAAAAAAAAAAAGGAAAAACCCACAAAAAACCAAAACTACGGATAATAATTCCACTTTGACATTGAAAAAACCTTAAAACCTCTAATAGGTGCAATAGCTAATGAAAAAATTAACTTTCATATTGAAGAAAGTTGAATGTAAGCTCTGCATAAACATACACACACACACACACAGCTAAAAGGGTTGGGGGACAAGAGCATAAGAAGAATTGGATTTACCTGTTTGAGCACAGGGAAGATCTGATTCGATCCAGAGTGGAAACCCCTGTTGAGAACAATCTAGAGTAATGATGTTGAATTACCACCTCAACAGACTAACCTTGGATATAAGTATCACCACCTGCTCTCTTCAAGCAACCCAGAATATACGCTTCATGAACCAAATAGCACAATCAAGCAAAGTTTACACTAAAACCCCCTAAAAACTGCAAACCAAAGAACAAAACACATGGTCAAAACAAACCTAAATTAAAAATTTCAAAGTTCCATAAGCAAAATCTCAATAATTTCTTGATTTCATTTGGAATTTATAATTTTAGCAATTATCCCAGTCACTCTGATTATCCAAGGGGTAAAAGGTTTAAACCCCGATGAGATTTTCCATAGAAACAGATCTCATTATTAATTGAGATACACGATGAATCTCCAGGATGAGTAGAAGTATAATGGCAAATGTAGGTGCGATTTGAAATACTTTGCTTATGTCCACAGATATGTTGAATTGATATCCCCATTTGTCCAAGGAACAGTGGCAAATGTAGGTTCCTTTTGAATTGAGGAATGAACTTCTTGTTACTTTAAATGTTTTTCTCTTGGGTTTTAGGGTTTTTTTATCATGACACATACAAATTGAGAATTTCTTTAATTTTATTATGCTCTAGCAACAATTACAGTTTAGGTAATTTGGCAGTTGATTTGCTACGGCGTAATTCACAAATGATAAGAAGAGGTGGACCGGTGGAACTTTAGGAAGCTTTAGCATTTCAAACCTTGAATTTGGTAAATTTGCAACCACCTATTCTCCTTGGAACTTTAGACTTTTTAGTATTTATTCACTATAGATGTAGTGTTTATTATGCAAAATGAACCATTGAATGAAATTCTTTTGGCTAATGGACACTTACATGGCATCTCTATGCAAATTTGGTTTAATACGTTAGTTGTTGTCTTGTCTATGAGCGTATTTGTCAAAATATTAATTGGTGATTGTTTTATTTTTCGCATTAAGCTAATATAATCTAAATTATTAATCTAGTCACAATTACAGGTATTTCTTATCATATATTTAGTGCATGCACAACAGTTGTTCAACAATTACAGGCTACACAGTTATAAGTAGACAATCAACTTGTCCAAATTTTATTGACTTGTCTTGATGTTTTCAAATTGCAAGTTGGAATAATTAATTTGAGTGATACACTTTTACTCTGTGGATGACACGAGGATTGAAGTTGACTTTTTTGATCCAACAGCTCTGAGACTCACTTTTTTGGTCTCAACCATTTCATATGGGATGGGTCATGCCAATACGGTTCTCTCTGGAATTGCCTTTTGCTCACCACTTCGGTGGGTCACTTCGACAGAAACAAAGTCACCTTTTTGGTGCAAAATTAATTAATTTCGTCCGTAATCCATCATTTCTAATTCATAAGATCAAGCGGTTCTTATGATTGTTTCACAGCTGCAAACTTTCTCGCGATGAAGGAATTACTGAATATTTTGTGTGAAAAAGTTGCCAACATGATCACCACTTCGGTAAGTCACCGGAGGAGATTCACAAAACATTCAATATCAAGAATGACTTTACTCCTGAGGAAGACGAAGAAATTCGTAAACAAAATGTGTGTGCGTTTGAGTGAATTTATTGTTATTTTTTAATGTTCTTTTCTAAATGTTTAGATAGATTTGGCAAGGAGTTTTACGTGGAGATAATGGATTTATTTTAAGGTTCTTGAACTTGTGCCCTAATTTTTATTATAAAGTTTATGGTCGTTTTATAGGTACCAATTTATTTTATATGAATTTGCACAACCCAATGCTTGTGATTAGCTTCTTGTTTGGATGAAAAATTAGCTAGAAGTTATAGTAAACTCCTATTTTGCCTTAAACTAGAGACCAAAATATTGTAAGTAAAAGAGCAGATTTGTGGCATTGTTCAAAGTTATTGGGTTGTGCAAGACCTTTTTAATCTTGCACAAGTTCTGAACAACTCCATCCTTATTTCCAAAATGAATTATCATTGGGTTTTTTTTCCATCTTTTATTTACGATAAAAGTTGGTATCATAATTCAAAGATTTCTCTTCAATATTTTTGGAAACATATCGTTGAAAATAATGGGTATTTCATATTCACTAGACAACGTACATTTAATATAGGAATTTTACTTTGATCGGGTGTATTAGATTTAGGTGGTGTTTGATAAAACTGAAAGTTGAATGTTGAATTTGTAGATTGTTTCGTATTCACTGAAATTTAAATACTGAATTGAACTAAACTGTTTGATAACTATATAGAGCCGACGTCTGAAAATAAATTAATTTTCAATTTTACTTTTCCACTCTTTAATTTGAAAATATTTATAAAATATGTTATAACATAAATCATAATCACTATTATTATATTGTAGTCTACATTTAACAAATATTTGATCAAAATAAATAAATAAATAACATCTGAATAACACAATAAGCGAACAATAACAAATTGAATAACATAATAAGTGAACAATAATATCTGAAAAAAAAGAACAATAGCTAATAAATAATCAAATAATATTGAAAAAATACAATAAATTAGATTTCATTAAAAATATGTGTGTGCGCCGTGTGTGTATGTGTGACGCCTCTAAAATCGGGGGTCCCGTTGATCCTCCATCAACCCGCGGCATGTCCGTGAGTGTTGTTTGATCCGACATCTCACCAATAATATCTCATTAACCGGGATTTTAACTCACACTTGTTACCTGTGTATCTTTATTCATGTAATTTAAAGAGAACAAATATACCTCATTTAATATTCATTTGTATCATTGGAACTAAGGAAATCAAAGTCCAAAGGCATAACAAAGAAATAAAAAAATTTTCAAAGTTTGAAGGGAGTGTACCGGTACACCGTACTAGTACACTCTGCCCAGTTTTGTCCAATTCACCCATTTTTGATTTCCAATTCATTTAAAAACACCTCATATTAATCCAAAACATGTATAACAAGATTTTCATCATACATTCCCATTCATACGAATCCATTACAATTTATTTACATAAATTCACATGTCAAAAACTAGTTTTACAAAAGACTTCATTCAAAAGCCACAACCGGCTTTTCTTCATCTTCGAAGCTCCGAATGAGAGTCCTCCGTCGATACAAATCTCGCACCTGAAATATTTCCCGTATAGGGTGAGTTAACGCCCAAGAGAATATTTCCTTCAGAGGCTACTCCCCTCCTAAAATGCATATGCAATGACTACTGCAACAAGTCACAACAATTAATCCATTCCAACAATAACATATAATTCAATGTTGAAAATCATGATATCATGCCATGAAATGAGATGAGACTCACTGATGCATCCTATTCTGAGTCCACACAGACTCCCACAACACAATGTAATGCATATGTGTAAAACATTTGTCTTTGACGAAAAATATCCAAAGATCATTTTGAATTAAAATCATACGTCATAAAACCAATTCATTTTATGGATATTTCCCATCAAATGAATAATTTATATGTCAAAACCATGTGTTTTTGTTGGATATCGGATTCTGGAATTACATCGTTAGCTCCGTACGCCATTACATTTTTCTGGAATTTTACTTAAGGGAAATGTATGAACCAAGTAGCCGGGCCTTTCACCCGAGAAAGTGTCTAGCCCTTCTTGCTATACCCGACACAAGTTTTCTCATGCATGCAACCGTGCGACTCAGTAAGATGTTTCATCCCACTTTCCCGAGCCCACCGTCGACCACCAAGTATGATATTTAATTTAACCATGCCCCATACTCACCCACACTCATGCCTAAGCCCATGAATGTAATGTTCCATACACATGCAATGTAATGAGTCATTGCAATGCCAATATCATGTGCCATATGTAATGAGTGCTATATGGAAATGAAATCACATATTCTGACATATATCATGGCAATTTATATCAATGTATATAATTACCATAAACCATCACCATGTCCACATAGCATCTTGCATATATTAACATTTATATCCAAACCATTTACAAGCATGTTATTTCATAAATCATGCCCATAATACACTTAATTACAAGACACATTATAAACACATAGCATGCTCACATAAACCCAAATTTCAAGAGTTTATATAATCAATTCCACATATAATCAAGGTAGAAAATGGGTTAGGCCATTTCTATAACCCTAGTCAAGTGACATAGGTTGTTTCTCATCCTTACTCATTATATAGGCATTTTAGGTAAGAATAAAATCAAGGTAGGAGGGAACCCTACCTCTTGGAGCTTGAAATAGAAAGAAAGTTTCCAAAGCCCCAAAACCTTGATTTCTCAAAATTCCTTCTTTGGATCTTCAGTGAAATCTTTCATTCTTAGTGTGGTTGCGTAGCTCTCGTCAATGTGATCGACTTTAACTCTTGGCTCGATAGATTCCGATCGATGAAACTTGGAGAATCGACGAGAGAATGTTGAAGATTTTGTTTTTTTTCTTCTTCTTCTTCAATGTCTAATCTAGCCG